ACTTCCTGACTCTCAAGATATAATCAGTTTTAGTTTTTGTGGTCATCTTCACTGCTTGTGAGGTCCAGATTCTTTTTACTTTCTTCTTTAAAAGATTATTCAAGATCTTTAGCATAAGACTTCTGAGTTGTTTTATAAGTCTTTTGTCTTTTTTGTTTCTTAATACTGAATCACATTTTCCAAAACATTTTTTGCTATCTTTTTTTCCCTTCATATTGAAGTCAAGTGGCATCAATGACATGGTGTAGAGGATTTTATCAAGTTTCTCATAGAATTTCCCTGTAGTTATGTTCTAGAACAAATATTGTCACATAAGCTACAACTATCTTCAAAGTTCTTTTTGTGTTTACTGTGAGCATTGTAAGGCAAAATTAGTGGGGCCCCTGTGAAACGGTTTTGTTGCCTCTGGGCACAGAATGAAACCAAACCTGCTAACTCCTTTATTCTGTCTCTCAAGGAGAACCTGCAAACCATTTTCCTCCCTGTTTTCTTGATGATTATTTATGTTTTAGTGATTTTTTTGTCCTTGGAATTCAAGGCCATCCTGTAAATCTTACAATGTAAAAAGCCCCAAAACATTAAATAAGTAATATGTGAATTACTTTTAATTTAAGAAGGTTAAGAGGGAAAAATTATGCAGTTCTAAATGTTCTCAACTATTTAGTCAGGATTTAAGAATGAAAAAAAGATTCATGTGATTATGTAAACCCTTAAAAATTACCCAGGATTATATTGTAGGGAAATTCCATCATTCAATTTATTTGATGGGAAAAAAGAAATGAAAGTCAAACTCAGTGAAAAGTTGACATTCTGAAGAATTGCATCAAACCCATGTGCCTGCCTTTCTTTCTGCTCCATTAGACAGGTTGTGCCAACAAAGTTATTTGACTTTGAGAGAAAACAATTGCATTTGAGCAGCTTCATCGTTTACTTAGAAATCACATGTCAGGAGTTCAGTTGAAAAATAGGGAAGTTCATTGTTTAGCTAGCATTACTTGAAAGCAGAACTAGGGTCAACTGATTGCTTACATAAATCTCGAAGCTATGAATTATTTTAAAACGGAAGCAGATAGACCACTCTGTCATAAAACAGGTGGAGCTTTCAGGGCAAAGGTTTGCAGCTGAATATAGGCAGCCAACCCCCACCAAATAAATTTGTCTTAAAATTTTTATTTTACATTATGTTTTGTGGTGCTTTCCCTGAGCAATAAAAATTGTTGTTTAAGCTCTACCTGTACATCACCCTTCTTATTTCAAAATCTACAACTAAAGAGTCATTTCTTTGTCCCTAGTCACATATAGATATATCTAGAAGAAATCATTAAATCATCATTCATTTACATATAATTGTGAGCCGAATTTGCTGGATCCTCATACACCACAGATTCTAATAGAAGAAGTTGGGGAAACATAAGTACCCTGAGATGGGTGAGAGGAAGCACTAGTAGTTACCTTTTTTCCCAAAACCTTATTTGCTCCCCAAGTTGCTACTATTGTAAGCTCCTTGAAGGATGAGCATGGATCCTTATGGCAGTCCACTAAAGGCCTCCTTCCAAACTGATATAAAACTAATAATGACTTCTCTTTTAGTCTATCTATTAAGCACATTCTAAATCCACTGAATTGTTCTATCATACCTCTTCATCTTTTCCATAATAACAGCATAAGAGATCTTATCAAATGCTTTGCTATAATCTAGATAAACTATAGCAACAGCATCCCTTTGATCGAGTAGATTAAAAACCTTATCACAAAGGAAACAGAGTTAGTCTGGCAGGACATGTTCTGGAAGTCATCCTGGGCTATTGTGATCTCTGTTTACTATCTCTATAATGGTTAATATTCTAAAATTTTCTCCAGAAACTGTAGTTGAGCTCATTGATCCCTACTTTGCAGACTTTATTTTCTTCATGTTTTTAATAGTGGTATGATATTTGTACTTCTTTGATCTTGTAAGACGTCTTTATAGTGTTCTTTATAGTCTTTTGAAATTTGTTATCAGTGACTCAGTGTTCACATTCTGGGATGTAGGTCATTTGACCCTGATAGTTTGAACTCGTCAAACATGGTTAGATGCTCCCTATCTCCCTACTTATTTGGATTGGCGAATTCCTATCAGCCTTGGCAGTCTTCACCTTGGCAGAAAAATCAGAAGCAAAATAAAAGTTTAACAGAAAGTTCTTCTCTCCATCATCAGTTATTTTTGTCCCATCTATCACATGCAGTGGTTCTGTACCTTTTTAAAATCATGTTCTTTTGCCTAATATGGCTTTAGAAAATAAATAAATGATAAAAAGAAAAACAAAAACCTTTTTTCTTAAAAAAAATCTTTCACCTGCCTCAGTTTATCTTGAATTGAAACATACTTAACATTATTCTAAACAGGACTATCCTATGCTGTTGTGCTCATCCTCCATACATATTGATTCTACTGTATATGTATTTTAAAAATCAAAGTTGGTCAAGGCAACCAGATGGTACAGTAGATAGAGCACTGGGCCTGGAGTCAGGAAGACCTTAGTTCAAATTCTGACTCAGATACTTACTAGCTGTGTGACCCTGGGCAAGTTACTCAACCTCTGTTTGCCTCAGTTTCTTCACCGGTATCAACAGCACCTACTTCCCAGGGTCGTTGTGAAGATCAAATGAGATAATATTTGTAAAGTACTTGCCACAGTGCCTGGCACATAGTAGATGCTATACAAATACTAGTGGTGGTGATGATGATGATGATGATGATGATGATGATGATGATGATGATTGTGATGATGAATTCCCTGAGCATTGGTCTTTCTAGATAGTTCACACTTTACCCTCCTCACTGAAATCCTTTCTCTTACTGTGTTCAGGAGTATACTTTTTAGTTCTTTCCATGACTCCTGGTCTAATTTTCCCTATTAAATTTTAGCTTGTGAAATCCTATCTATCCTTTCTTTTGAATCTTAAATCTGCACTTTCAAAACCTAAGGCATATGAGATTTAGCCCAACTTGCCACTCCTCTTTTGCAAATTCTAAGACAGAACATTCATTTCACTTCAAGGTTCCCAAGTTTCAAGGGTTCATTTCTCCCTTAGTAACCAACTCCTCCATTTTGGTAAAAAACAGATAAAGAATACAATTCCCCTGTTCTTTACCCAAATATTTGCCATTATGTTTCCTTGCTCTATTTCTGGTTTTATTCATGTCAATATATCTTCTTAATTAACACTGCTAACCTGTTATTTTACGTATTCTTTTTTTAATGATATTTAGCATTCTCTAATCATATTCCATTAATGGTTCTCATCTCATATCTCAGTGGTACCTATGAGGTCAAATTTGCCTCTTTGCATTAAGAGCTCCTGTTCATTTTTCTTTTTATCGATACTTTGTGCATTTGTATACAGACTAATACTGGGTCCTTTCTTGGATTATGTCTCTTGCAACGTTCTGGGTGTTTCTGCTATCATTCTTCATATGTTATAATTTCTCTCCATAGCAGGAATCCATATTCTAGGGTCCATGGACCCCCAAGATGTCCATGAATATATTTAAAGGAGTCCATTAACTTGGAAAGGAAAAAATTACATCTTTACTTCTAATTCTATTACCTTTGTAATCTTATGCACTTTACCTTACACATTTAAAATAGCACTTTGAGAAGGGATTCATAGGCTTTACCAGACTGCCAAAGAGATATATGAGACAAAAAAAAAAGTTTATGAACTCTTGCTCTGTGTTACACAGCATGGTAGATACACAGGAGCAATTTTCTCCTTTGCTCTTCCTTTCTAGTTTCAAGTTTGTTTTTTAATTAGATTTCCAAAACTTCAGGCAAATACATTTTGATTAGTCCTCATTTGATATACTCCATCCCTAGGCAAGAGCCTATAATTCCTACATTTTTATTCATGGTCCAGAAATCGAGTTCCTATTCTCAGACATTATCTTTATAACCAGTTGTTACCTTGTTAAATCTGCCTTTCTCTTCTAATGCCATTGACTTCAATGAGCAAGAGTGATGAAAACACCACCTGTGTTTCTTGTGGTAACCATGCTGGACATGAAATCACAAAGACCTGTATTCAGATCCCATTTATGATGATTGTTAGCCATGTGACCACTTCAACTTATTTAAACCTCAGTTTCCTTCTCTGTAACCACGCCAATTTGAATTCCTTTCTACAGTGAGACTGATTAGTGATGGTAAAAGCAGAAAAAAATTCCTGTAGGATTGTAGAAGCAAGTATTCATAACACTGGTATGCACAAAACTATAAGTGATATTGGCAAGTGATGAAATACTTTGGCAAAGTGCAGACCTTTGAAACATGCAAAAGTTATTTGTGAAAATTAAGCTGCCTGAATCATAAATGATTCATTTCCCAAGAAGATGCTAGATGCCAGAACATAAGTTAATACTCAGTTCTAAATAATTCATTCAATGTTATTAAAAGTCATCTATAAAACCTAAGACAATCTTAGATCCTATTAAGAGCTTGAGATATATTCACTATCAGTAGTGTGGTACTTATCGGAGAAGACAGATGGACAGACAGATAGATAGATAGATAGATTTATATACACACATATGTGTATATAAAGGAATATGTACTTACGTGTGCATGCAATAGAGACCTTACTGTACATGTTGTTACTTGCAAATAACACTTCCAATATGTTTTTTTCCCACCATCTTAGCATGTAATCAATAGATCAGTTAATACTTTGTTATACTCTTTACGCAACCAAAAAAAGACAAATATAAAGCAAATATTCCATAATAAGAAACTATGAAGGTCCCAAGGACAGAGAAGTTGTTTCCATGTCATTTGAAATATCAAAGTAAGGTGGATTGAGTATACATGTTGAATTCATGAAACTAATTGGGAAGATTCCAAGGACAGATCAATTGCTTACAATTCTTTTGAAACACCAGGTTAAGATAGATTGACTAGGGAAGTATTCTGAATTCATAAAACTGATTAGCAAAGTGACCAGCAACATCCTCCATCACTCACCTTAGGCAAATGCAATGGTAATTTGCAAGTAGGCAATTGATGCCAAAAGTCATTAAGTATAAGTGGTTGCTTCAAGTTCTTGGCTATTTTTTCTTTGGGTACTTTGTAAACTGCAACTGTACCCTTATAATGAGGGGAGCTGTAGTTGCCAAATTCATCCACCTCCTTGAGCTGGAGTTCCAGGCTGGGCTTTCTTTGTAAGTGAAAAATGAGCTTGTAGTCTTTTCCATAATCCTTCCCATTACCTAAATTTAAGTAAAATTTGAAGGTTACCACCACAATGTAATACTTAGATGATTTGGGCTGAACCTTTGGAACTCAAACAATCATTTAGTACTTGAAGTGGAATATGTTTTACATTTGATTCAATTTCCAATGTCTCATGGATCTACGATGACCTGCTTTCACATAAAATACGAATTTGCACAGAAATTGATACTCACCAAGCAAAAGCAATGAAAGTATCTTGGAGTACAAAGAGCATTGGACTAAGAATCAAAGAGACTTGGCTTCTAGTCCTGGCTCTATCTCTAACTAGCTGAGTGAATTTAGGCAAATTACAGCTTCTTCAGGCTTATTTACTTATCCATAAAAATGGGAGCAGAATTCTTGCTGCGGCTATTTTGGTTTTCCTGAAAACAACAGGAGCTGCAAGAACTAGATGAGGAAACTAAGTTGAGCAACACTATGACAGTTTTCCCATGATGCTCTCCAGTTCTAATGACTGACTCTCCTAAACACACTCTGTGCCAAATGGGGAGCAGTACTCCTTGGCCTCCCCTCCTTTAGTGACCAGGTTCCGTTTTCTAGAGTGAAAGGGATGTCCTGCCCTAGTAGGGTACGAAATCCAAAGTATCTAGATACAGAAGGGAGAAAGCATTTGGCCCATCCATCTCTCTTATCTATGAAAGTATATGACCCCCACAAACTAAATAGAGAAATATTTATCTGGATTTTGAGTGTTCTAGTTTCCTTGCCAATAATAGTGAGTGCAAACATTCTCAAATTTCTCAAAGAGCCATTATCTGGTTTAATTTAAATTGGATTTTATTTTAGAATTTCATATACTTTTTTCATTCTAAAGGCCATTATTACCTATGAAGGTAGGGGCATTATGGTAGAAAGAATGTTGGATTTTCCGATAGAAGACCTCTGTTTGAATCCTGACTCTAGTTCTAACTAGACATGAGGCCTTGGGCAAATTACTTAATTTCTCAGACTCTCAATCTGCTTAATTTGTAAAATGTGGGAATTTGGTTACATAATATTTAAGGACCCTTACAGCTATAAGTCTGTAATCCTGTAAGGGTGATAGTTCTGTGTTTTCTTGGATGTAAAAGAAGTGTTGAATTAAAGTACATTCCTGCCTTCAGGCAATTTTTCTCTTCAGATTCTGTTTGGTTACTCACAGGAAACACTTCATTTCCTGTCTCCATATCCTTTGCTGGTTATCACCCATTCCTAGAATTCTCTCCCTCCTCATTTCTGCCCCTTAGATTATCTGGCATCTTTCACGACTTTGCTCAAATTCTGCTCTCTGTAGAAGAACTTCCCTGGTCCTCAAAGCTGCTAGTGTCTTCCCTATGAAATTACCTTCCATTAATACTATGTATATCACATAATGTATTTATTTATACTGTTATCTCTTCCATTTGAATGTGAGCTTTGATCGAAGAGACTGCTTTTTCCTTTCTCTACAGCCCAGGCTTGGCACATCATAAGGTCTTCATAAATATTGGTTGACTTGACTTGATTAACAGTGTGACTGCTGGGAGGTACAGGAGTATTCTCTTTTGCCCAGTCCTCTCAGAAGTATGCAGGCAGAACTGGTAAGATAGGCAAATGATCACTGTCAAAAGTCTGCCAAGCCCACTCAGTCATATTCCCAAGCCGTTGCTCCTCATTTCTCCTTCATTCACCCTTTCTTTACCTGCTGTTCCCCATGTCCAGGTTCTGAGACTATTTGAAACTAAAACACTCATTGATAGTATCAACAATGGCACTATTTACTACAGCCAGTATACAAAGCTTAACAAAGGAAATATTTCAGTCATCCACACGACTTGTTTGGGTGGGACAGTTCCGTTTTTATATGTCTGTGTCCTCCATGGCAATGGAGGGTGTATACCATGGCTTCTGCTCTGGAAGCCAAACAGGAAGGAACTTCTGCCCTTCCTTTCCCCTTTCCCCTTTTCTCCTCTCTCCTCTTTTGTTCTGTGATTTCCTTTGCCACTTGAACAGCCCTGCTTGGCTAGTTCAGACTACATTCATTTCACTAAAGGCCTCTAAATTAAGACAAATGGCTGATGCTGTGAAGAAGGGGTTCCACGTGTTCCTGGAATACATTTTAAGCACCAGAGGAAGGGCATCTCTCAGTTTTGAACATAATCTCCTTCACAGTTGCACAGAGGTAACAATGCTTGTAATGGAGTTAGGGAAGGGCTAAAGGGAAGGGTGTCCAGGAACAAAGACCACTGCTAGGGAGAATGGCAGATTTTGTAATCTGGTGCTCTACATCACTTTGTAAATAGAATATCATATGGATCCAAAGGAATGTTAGAAAGGGACATGGCCCAACTGAACCTTCCCCTCTGGCTGTGAAAACTACTAGATTTCTTTCATTGAGTGGGTGGAGATACAAGAATCTTAAGGAAAAGGATCCAGTCATAACAATGGCTAAAGCAAACAGTCAGTTTTCTTCTCTCCTTCTTCTCTCCACTCACATATCATTCATCCCTTACTCTTGTCTTTGTTGTGTTATCTTTTATTTCATCTCAGTTCTTTGATCTCTTGTATGCCTTTCTCAGTCTTTTATTTTCTCTCATCTCCATCTCCCCAACTACCTCTGTAACCCAGTTTCAAGAGCACATGGAACCAGTATACACACACAAACACACACACACACACACACACAATTTTCAACACTTTTCCCTTTCCTAGACTCAATCACAAACATTGCAAAGTCTCTTTCTTCCTTGTATATCAAGGAACATGTTCTTTAAATGTGTAGGGGAGAAAGTCCTTTTTTTATGCTCCTATCTGAGATTGTGGAGGACTCATGCTAGACAATCAGCTTAGACTAATGTAAGGAACCCTATACTGAGAATCTGAAAACCTATGTTTGAATCTAGGTTTGATACTTCTGAACTATGGGAAAGTGATTAAATTTCTCTAAATCTCAAATTTCTCATTTGTAAAATAGGGGTCATAATATTTGAACTATCTACCTCACAGGGTTATGCATGCTATAACTGCATTTATTCTATTCTCAGGGTATACTCATGCATTCCCCATAGACAGCAGGCATTATTCATTCTCTAACATTCCACAAATGATGTAGCAGAGCTATCATTACATCACAAGAAGATAACTTCAGATGCTCATGACTCCTTATTTAAAAAGTAAATGGGAATATGAAAATTAAATACAGAGTAGTTGTGCTTTCATTTGTGAAAGGATGGGAGAGAATACACATCTTTTCCTTCCTTTCACACACAGAGAAAATTAAGGGAAGCATGGGATTTAGAGCTGGAAGCAACCTTAGTGATAATTAACATTAACACTCATTATTTTTATAGATAATTAAATCAAAACCCAGAGAGTTAAAGTGACTTGTCCAAAGTCATGCAACTAGTACATGACAGAGTTAGAATTTTAACCTAGTACCCGTGACTCCAAGTTTCTAACACTTTCTAGCATACCACACTTCTCCAGGTTTCTTTCCATTGAATAATGATAATCCAACCTCTGACTATGGGATGAAGCGTAGGGCAGACTACATAGATGAAAATATAAAAAGGGTTTGTACTTACTTGAAGCAAAAATGTTGCCATTAAACCTTAAAATAACCTGTTCTCCTTCTCTCATTTGGAAAAACTGAGATGGCTCTGGAGGCCCACTAAACCCTCTCTTATACAGGCTCTGAAGCTCCTGGCTCAAATCTTTAGAAGGCACTAGTGAAACAATTGCTTTATGAGGGTTTTCTTTATTCCGATATAGTACTATACAGGCCATGGTACTGCAGGTAGCTTCCTCTAGACACTTTGTGAAAAGGACTAGATGGGAATTGTCCATGGTAGAAGAAAGGCGAAGCACAAGAAATCTGCATGAAGAAAATAAGAAGAAATACTGGGAAAGAATGTAGTTGTTGTAGACATATAAATAAAATCCATTATTAGCTGCTCTTCATTTAAAGTAAAGCAGATGGGTTGAAAGACATTCAGTGCATTAACAGAGGCAATAGACTTTGGTACAGTTAGGAAATGAGTCTGAATAGAAATGTACCAATGAGAGATGCTAAGCATGCAACTTTCTTCTATAATGAGATAGATAAGCAAAATACAGATGATCTAAGGTGAATATATATTTCTCCATTGTTTCCTTTTCAACTCAGCACACATTTTCAGTGGACAAAGGAAGCACCATTTTTCAAAGTGTAATTGTTTCTTGAAACAAGCACTATTATAGATTATAATTTAAGCAAATATGAGAAAGGGATTATCAACATGACTCAAAAATAATTTTTCTCACTTATCTTTCTCAGGGCAAAAAAAGAATATCTTTATATTAAATGCACACTTTGAAATACTTATCCCTGGTAATTGTCTAGGTAGAATATAAATAGCTGTGCTAATTACCCCTAAAAAGTTTTTCAAAGAAAATTTCTATGGACTAAAGGATACTTTCCCCCTTTTCTTCTTAATAGCTACATAGAACTAAATAGGTTTATAAGTTCTTTCACACATATTATTTCATTTTATCCTCATAAAAACTCTGAGATGTAGAAAAAACTGACACTATTAACTTCATCTTACAGATGAGGAAACAAAGGCTGAGAGGTCAAATGACTTTCCATGCTCACATAGGTAAGAAGTGGCAAATTCAGGACTTGAACCTTTGTTTTCAGACAAATGCTTCTGAGAAAAAAAAACATACTGATACTTAATAAATTGTCTAAATTGGCTAAAAATGACAAGCATTTCATACTTTATGTTATACTCTTCAAAGTATCTACATCAATTATCACAGTTGTGATTATAAATCAACTGTAATCTACCATAATCACCAATATCACTGAATCCTTAGAAATTATATTCAAAGGTAGAAACCATTTGTATTAGAACAAGAGGAAATGGCTTAAGAAGTGAGTGCTACCCCTTAATTACTGCCAACTATTACTAAAAAGTCAGAGCTATAGGGCTGTTCCATCATAGGTATTCACACACACACACACACACACACACACACACACACAGAGAGCCAAAACCTCCAACTGGGTCTGTCATGCAGTCAATTTAAGCCTAAGCTTGTTGTTTAGCAGCCTCTGGGGACAATATTCAAATAACTGACTTTATCACTTTCCTAACTTGACCAAGAATGTAGGCACAGCTTTTGTTCATATGGCACAAAATGCAGTGACTGTGGAGTTATTTAGTCAGCACATTCCATAGAAAGTTTCCTATAGATAAGGTACTGTGCAAAATACTGAGGCAGCACAGATTATCCCCATTACCACCAGTGCTTTCCCTTTATTGATTGGCTCCAATTTTGCCTTGGGAACAAAATCATGTCTTGTTTGTATATAGGTGTTTGCACTTTGTCTCCCTCATTAGACCGCGAACTGGTTTTTCACCCTTTCTTTCTACTGCCAGTAATTAGAACAGTGCCTGGTGCATAGCTTCATTAATATTTGTTGACTGCCTATAACATTGTTCTTGAAAGACTTCAAGAAGCTGATGATTTAGTGGGAGACATATTGCATTTGCATGTAAAAGAATGACAAAGAACAGACAGAAGTGTATGATACCACCTAGAGAGGTTGTATCCGAAGGAAATGAACACTAAGTGCTTACTATATGCCAAGCGCTTTGCTAAGCACTGTGAACATAAATACAAACAAACAAACAAACAAAAAATCCCTACCCTCAGGGAGCTTACAGTCAAATGAGGGAAGACAACATGAAAGGGACAGGATAGAAATAATACGAAAAATATACAGCTTGGGACATGGTTCTAAAGTCCAGAAAAATTCAGGAACTAGACCAAGAGGAGAATAGAGTCAGGTCACCCTTAGCCCTTCCAAAAAATGGAGGTGCCAGGTAGAAATCACTAATAAGAAAAGGGAGAGGAGGGAGATTGCAGAGAGAAAGTCCGTGATGAGTAGACCATGAGGGTGGTAGGATGTTTCATGGTAAGGAGGCCGGAAGTACAGAGGGGAATTCTAGAATAAGCCCCAGTAGTGGGGGGCATGGTTTAGAAGTCCAGAAGTCAGGAACAGGGCTGGGATAATAAAGCTGGCCTCAGAGTTAGGAAGAACTGAGTTCAAGTCTTATCTCAGAATATACACTACCAGTCTGATCCTGGAAAAGGCACTTAATCTCTTAGTGACTCCAGCAACTCTCTAAGACTTTCAATTATAGAGAAAGTACTCATCAGTATTGGTACATGTATTTCTTCACCGAGAATTTCCTATATCAATGAAATCACAGTTCCGATATCCTCTTTCCTCTCTTCCCCTACCCCTCAAAAAATAATAGTATCAATTGAGTGTTTAAGACAATATGGAGTATAAAAATTCAGAAAAGAGGTAAAATAGTGTATCTTGAGGTGGTGAGGAAAGGCTTCATGAAGGAGGTGGGGGTTAGAACTTAGGTTGGGAGGGTCAATTCCAATAAAAGGCAATGGAGTATTTAAAGCTGAAAAATAGGAAATAGGAGGTTATGTCTGGAGAAGCATAAATAGAGGATAGTTAGTTGATCAGAGGCTATATTAATTCATTTATATTTATTAATTCATTCAAAGTTTACTTCATTGACAGACTAGCATATGCATAGCCCTATGGTAGGTTTTGTATGGGATATAAAAGATATAAAGGTCATATGAATAGGAAGTGGGGGACCATTGAAGGTTTGGGGATAGATTATGATAAATGTAAGACCAATTAGGAAATTAATTCAACAATAAACTAGCTAATGAAAGTAGACAAACTCAATGGGATATTACTGAAGAAGAATGGATGATTTAATATGGTAAGTTTGAATGAAGTAGAAGTTTCCAAAAAAAAGAAAATGACTCCCAGGTTTTGAACCATGTAAGAGGGTTACATTTCCATTTGATATAGTAAAACATCAGAACTGTCCCTACAAAAATGAATCATGTGGATGACTGAAATATTCTTTTTTCTGGTCTGTATATAGACTGTGACAACAAAGACTCTTCCAGTCTCCTTGGCAACAGAGAGAACGATGGTATCATTTTCAGAAATAGGGAAGTCAGGAAAGGGTGCCAGTATGAGGGGAAGATGATGAGTTCATTTTTAGACATGTTGATTATGAGGTGATTGCAGGATATCGAAGTGAAAATGTTCAGTAGGCAGCTGAAAAAGTAGAACTGGAGCTTGGAAGAGGAGGCTAGAGATTTTTTTCAAATGTGGGCCTCTCCTATATAGAGGAAGTAGCTTAAATTATAAAAGCAGATGAAATGGAGAAAGAGAAGAGCCAACTAAGGACAAAGCCTCGGAAGATGCCTGAATTTAGAGGGTAGAAGGTGCAAGAGGACCTGGTAAAGGCAGAGCCAAACATATAGAAAGAGGGGGAATATCATAAATAGTGCCGGAGCCAAGTTAGAAAAGGCTTTGAAGAAGAGAGGTATAGCCAATCGTGTAAGTTATTGAATAGGAGTCAAGGAGGAATAGGACTAATAAAAGACCATCACATTTGGTATGTTGCAGGTCACTGATGACCTGAGAAAGATATGTTAGTAAAATGTGGTTGAGAATAGAAGAAGCCTGATGGCAGGGCTTGCTGCATGTTAAGGAGCAAGCCTAAGAAATAGGGGATAATAAATGAAAGTAGCTGATGGAGAACACTTGTCTGAGAAGCTTTAGAGTAAAATGAAAGAAAACCTGGGTGGAAGGTGATGGGTGTTAGCAGCAGGATTGGTCCTTGTAGCCTTTGCAAAATAGAGGAGACTTGTATATGTGAAAATGCTTACTTCAAATCAACTCCACAAATATTCATTAAGCAACCACTATATACAAGGTATCATGTCAGATACTAGGGATACAAAGACAAGAATGATATAAATATTTGTGATTATTATTACTGTTGTTGTTATGTTATCATCCTAGGCCCTGCTTTAAAGGATCTTCTAGTTGAATGGGAAGGGAGAGGCAGATGTGCAATTAACTGTAAAATAAGAGAGAGTGAAGCAAAGGCAAAAAGATAGATAAAGACAAAGGAAAATTTTTTTTAAAATTGAGAAAGGAAAATTCACTTTGACCTGGTTTGAGGATGGGCAAAGAGAAAGCTTTGAGGAGTTGGCAGATGAAGATGAAAATATGTAAGAGAATCAGTTTCATTTTGGAGGAAAATATAAGTAAAAGCACAGAGACAAAGGGGGCAGGGAAGCAAGAGGATTAGCAGTCCTATTTGGCATTGAAATACATGTAACAGAGGTATGGCCAATGCAGCTCTATCCTTAGAAAAGATGCAATGCACTCTGCCTGCTGCCAGTATATCTGGAGGAAACTGGGGAGCCTGCTTCCAGAAAGGCATGATGACCTTTAATACAAGGGCCCCACTCTCCGATTCAGAGAATACACAGATATCCTCTTTCTCATCCCCTTATCATGCAAAGAAGAGGAGTCTTTTTACTGGCTGCTGAGACAGCATCGAGAAGGCTTACAAAAAGCACTGACTAGCCAAAGTATTTTTTATTTCCTGCCTGACTATGTTAAAGTGAGAAGACAAGAACTATTATAAACACTTGGGGAGGAGAAAGGCATTTGTCCTTTTTCGACTCATCCAGGTTGCTACCATGTGGCCCATGAATAAATGGTCCTGCTATTGCTTCTATTTTTTTTTCCTGCTTTTAGGTGGAGTATCCTTGGTAGCTATTCTAAGCTATCAGTGCTCACAAGAGCATAGCCATCTTTTCATGTGGTCAGGGAATAGGAAATGAATATTATACACACTCTGATGATGGCATTCAATTAGCCAGGTCCTTGTTACGTGTATAATGTTGTATGATATAAGGCTTAAAGAGGTAGATTGAGGCTAGATTACGGAGGATCCTGAAGGACAGAGACAGAAATATATGCCTTAGTCAGTCTACGAAGGGATAGTCACTGAAAACTTTGAGTAGAGAAGTGACATGGCTGTGGTAGAACACTAGAAGGATCACTTGGGTAGAGCTGTAGAAGATACACTAAAGAGGAGATTAGACTAATGGCAGGAAGACTAGGAGAGCTTTACAATAACCTGTATCTAACTACCAGTCTTCCCCATGAGGCAAGAAGGGAGAGAGGAAGGGAGAATGTGGAACTAAAATTTTTAATGAATGTTTAAATTTGTTTTCACATATAATTAGAAAAAAAATCAAATATCAATTTTTTTAAAAAATGAAATTTCACTTTCTTCAAGAAAAAATAGGAACAATGTTAAGAAGCAAAGGGGATATGAACAAGGTAAAATATTAATAAAACAATCTAAGTGAGGGAATGAAGAGGAGGAGAAAGATATGAAGTAAAAAGAGATTCAGTGGCTGCAGGTGACTCTAGGTATGAGCATGGGATACTGGAAGTAGAAGCATGCCATTAATTTAAAAAAATTGAGAAGTCATGCAGGGTAGGTGGTATAGGTAGGTTTAGGAGAGATGAGTTCAGCTTGGGACGTGTTGAATTCAAGGTGCCATAAAACATTCAAGAGGAGATATTTAGGAGTCACCTGGAAATATGGAATGAGAGTTCTGAAGAGCACCTCAGGAATAGAGATAGATCTGGAAATCCTCTGATTACGTGTAAGATAAGTAAGAGGAAATGAATAAGAGAAGAGCATCTTGGAAGCCAAGGGAAGAAAAATGTTCAGAAGCAACAGGTGATTAATAGTATTGATGTATTTAAAACTTGTTCACTAGACCAAATGATTAGGAGATCAGTTTTGACCTTTGAGAAGCCAATTTCAGTAAATCTATCTCAAAATCAGCATGTACAAAACAGATCTGTTTTCAATCACACACTTCAACCACATCCCAATCTTGCCCTTCCTCCAAGCATCAATATTTCTGATAAAACTACCATCATCTAGTTTCACAACCTTAGAGGCAGACTTGACTCTTTCCTTTCCTTCAGCTAATCATTTACCAGGTCTTACTGACTCTATCTCCACAATACCACATGCATCAATTCTCTTCTTTCCACTCATACAACCACCACCCTATTTCAGGCTTACCATTTTTTCAGAAAGACCATTACAGTATTTTGTTCATTGGTTGCCCTGCTTACATGCTCTTCCCTTCCCAATCATCCCTCATGCTGCTTCCAAAATAATCTCCTAAAAGGAAAATTCTGACCTAATCACTTCTGTGCTCAAAAAATCTTCAATGGCTCCCTACTGCATTTAGGACAAAATACAAAAACCTCACTCTGACATATAAAGAAAGCCCTTTGCATAAGTGTCAGTCAACTTTTGCAGAGTTAATACATGTTCCTCCCTTTCCCGTACTCTATGTTCCAAAGTAGCCTATTTGCTCTTCTTACAATTGGCATCCCATCTCCCACTTTTGGTTTTGGCCTGGAATGTCTTCTATTCTCACTTATTTCTCTTAGAATATATAACTTCTTTTGAAGTTTAATCTCTAGGGCTACTTCTTATAGAAGGCCTTCCTTCTCCCCCTTGTTAATGCTCTTCTCTGCCTCAAATTATTTTCTATTTCCTTATTTGCTTACATGTTGTATCCTCCATCAGTATGTGAACTTCCTTGAGGTCAGGGACAATTTTATGTTTTTGTCTTTACATGTCCAGTTTCTAGCATAGCACCTTGTACATAGTAGGTACAAAGTAAATACTTGTTGAGTTGAATTATAAGTGCTAGAGTACAGATCCTGATTGCACGAGGTTGAGAAGTGAATAGAAAAGAAATGGAGGTAGCACAGCAGACCACACTTTCTAGAACAGAAGCTTGTTTTTGTTTTTGAGGCACAGGGATTTAGTGATTTGCCCAAGGTCACACGGCTAGTCAGTGTTAGTGTCCAAGGCCTGATTTGAATTCAGGCAATCCTGACTCCAGAGCCCAGTGCGCTATCCACTGCACTATCTACCTGCCTCTTAGAACAGAGGTTCTTAACCATTTTTGTGTACCATGGAACCCATTTGAAATGTTCTAGTTAAGCATATGGATGACTTCTTGGAATAATGAATTTAAAAGAAAAAAATTAAATATATAGAATTTCAAAAAACAATTGCATTGAAGTGTCATTATCAAACTATATTAAAAACAATTTTATGGAGCTCAGATAAAGAACCCTTGATCTGGGAGTTTGTCGTGAAGGAAACAGAGAGCTAAGACAATGGATGAATTCATTCATTTTACTTTGTGCAGCATATATACTAGCCTAGTGAGTAATAATAGAAATTATCACAAACAAGAGATAATCACGTTTAATTGAAATAACTAACGTATATATCTTTACCTATAAAATAACTCTATATCTGATTGTTTAACATCTAAAAGAGGGGAGAGCAGATGCAAGGGAGGGAAGGATACAATTTGGAACTCAAAACTTCAAAAAAGTGTTTAAAAATTATTTTTAACATGTAACTGGGGAAAAGTAAAATATATGTGTATGTATACGTCTGTGTGTACATGTATGTACATATATATATATATAACCTATAAAATAAAATTACACAAAGAAAAAGTTTATAAATTTGTGTATTTTTTATATATAATATATACATTTATATATAAATTTAGTATTTTAAAGTTGCCTAATGAAAAAGCAAATTTTCATACATAGATCAAAGGTAGCATATTGTTTTCTGCCCTGTGATATGCAGTGAATCTAAAGTTTAAATATATTAAATCTATGAACATCTGAATCTTCACTAGCTAGTAAACTCTACTTCAGTCCACATAATACCTTTTGGTTAGAAAAAAAAATAACAGGCATTTTGGTCAAGTGCCATGTAATAATAAGAGGCAGCATGATATGGTGCAGAAAGACTGGGGCTCATGGCCCACCTCTGAAACATTCTCACTATGTGATCCTGGCCAACTCACCTAACTTGCATGTTCTTTTAGGGAGCCTCTCAAGTTAAACATTGCAGAAAATTTGCTGACCTGCACTGATAAGACTGAGTTTCCTCACCAGACAGCTCTTTGTACTAGTGAAATCCTAGATTATGCAGTCTCTTTGCCTACTATATAATCACTATTAATAATATTTACTTATTATAATCACACTTTTAAACAATTTTCTGCATGCTTATTTGATACACTCTGTTGAGATTAACAAATATTTTTAAAAATTCAGAATCTGACCATTGATTGAGTCTAAAGATTGCATATACACCTCTACGTATATATGTGAATCTGCATTCAAATAGATTCCTTTTCATATGGTTTCCATCTTTTTATGCCCTTCTAATATCTCCATGGACTCCTAAGACATCTTTAAAAAAAACCACTATTTTTAAAATTAGATCAGCTTCAGTGTATTGAAATGAGAAAAGAAAATTAAACCACTCCTGAGAAAACAAAATCTAGTCTACATAAACATAGTCATTTGATGAACATAAAATAAACAGCTTTCTCATAATCTTTATGGAACTTTCAGGAACAAAGATTTTATCATAGAATCATGTTGAAGTTACACGAAGTATTAGAACTGTCAAGATATGATCAGATTCGTTTGGGGGCACATCTTTTGTGAAACTACCGTGAAGGGAAGTAATACCTTATATTACCTACACATAAATTTGCTAACCCTGGTTTGCATTTTCAATTCAGCCTAAATGACTCTTCGGTAGTTCCACTTCTTGAATTATGATACTCATCTCAGGATTTCTGCATCTGTAAACATAAATGATGGCCCATCAAGAGCTAAGACACTGAAAACCTTTGCTCATTTACTGAAGCTTTACCTGTCTAAATGTTCATGCAATTCAAATGATACAATTCCACTCTGCACGTTTCTCACAACAAGATCATCGAGAACAAACCAACTTCCCTCTCTGCTTCTGAAACCCAGTAGCTTCAAGGACTCACTGACATTGTCCCCAGGTTTTCTTAGAGAAGCACTCTTGGCCCTACATAAAGGGAACACACAAGAAATTAGTGACATGGCTACAGATTAAATCACCCTTATTCTAGATATTTTTTTAAAAAACTGTCACAGGAACATCAAACAGTCTGCCATGAGTAGTCAAGAATAGCCAAGAATAAAACTCCTAGTCCTTCTAGCCCAGTTCTCATTTCCTTTAGTAGTAATTTCATAGGGATAGGAGGCAGGGACTAGACCTCTGAATTCACTGGTATGGGGAATTCCTAGATGAGGAAGCTCCACATAAGACCAGTGTAACTTAGAACCTTCTCTTAAACTTACATAGCGTGTTAGACAAGACATCACCCGTAATATCATTGGTCCGCTTCAAAAGCAAAGGACAAACAAGAATAGCATTAGAGCAGAGATTCTTAACTTGACATCCATAAATACCTGGGGTCCATGGATAGATTTCAGGAAGCCTGTGAACTTAGGGGGAAAATACATCTTTATTTTAATTTTATTGGTTTCCTTTGCAATCCCAGGTACTTTATTTTATGCATTTAAAAACATTATTCTGAAAATAATCTGTAGTCTTCACCAGGCTGCCAGACAGCTCCACAACAACAACAAAAAAAGATCAAGAACTCCTGTCATAGAGAGTTGCCTAAAATATTGAGAGGTTAAGTGACTTGTCAAGGGTCTCATAGTCAGTATGTGTCAGAGGTAACATGGGAACCCAGGTCTTCCTCACTGGGAGACTGGCTTTCCATCTACTATGCCTTTCAGGGTAGTCTGATACATATACTTTAATTCATTTCAATGATAGCTAATAAATATTTATAATAATACTGCTGTATTCATGGTCCTGAAGAGGTAATAACAAAATAAAAGAGCCCCTGCAATTAATGATTTTATAATCTAGGTAGCTGACATGTACATAAATATCTATGATATGAGGCAGAATGGAATAAGTCAAAGGAAAAGTCCAGATGATGTGCTGTGAAAAATATGAGGAATAGGAGATCCCTTTTAGCTTGGGAAATCAGAGAAGCCCTTATAGAGGAAGTGACCCCTGAATTCAACTTTGAAGGAAGGGAGTAATTTCAAGAAGTAGAGATGAGAAGTGTCGTATAAGAGGGAGGGTACATTCCAGGCATAGGGTATGATGTGATCAAAGATACAAAGACAGAAGAGGATAGGATAACTGAATTTGGCAAGTTGTCACTTTAGGTATAATACAAAGCCCATGAAGAGAAATAACGTGACAAAGATTAGACTTGAAAGGTAGGTTAGATCCAAATTATGGATAAGGCCAATTTATAGAATTTATATTTTATTCCAAATGCAATAGGGAGCCACTGATGATTTTTGAGCACAGATATGCAGTGTAGTGTGAAACTTCAACTATATTTTTCCATGAAGAGACAAGCAGTCATTATGGTATCCAAGGAAGCCTAGTTCCCTTCAGAGAATTCATGCATGACTAAATAAATTTTCAAGGATTTACATTTCTTCCTCAAATATATCACATCCTCCTTTTCAGGTTGCCTTTCTGAACACTATGCTTTTAGTATTGGAACAATGGAAACAAAGAAAAATATGTTCAGCATTATTATTAAATGTGTGTATATATATATTATATATATATATATATATATATATATATACACACACATACACATATAGGTTGCTGCATGAAAAAATGCATTGTCCCTGTCACTCTAAAATATCTTATTCCATAACCTTGAATAGATTTTCCCTAATAAACTGCCCTTTTTCTTCAAAGTGACATTGTTTAATACTATTAAATATTCAAACACAACAATTTATACTGGTAAGCTAAAAGTGAAACATTAAATATTCTTATATTTTACTCATAAGTTTTCTTACATATGCTACAGGAAATATAATTTTATATTTTATTATTGCTGATATTAATTAATATGGCCAATATTAATATATTGGCAGGTAGATGGTGCAGTGTTGGACTTGGAGTTAGGAAGGTGAGACCCTGGCAAGTCTAATCCTAACCCCAACCCTAAAAAGACAGTTCAACACATTAGCTCAGTGTTGATGGTTAGCTCACAAATTTTGAAGGGAAGGGACTTTAGAGGCATACTAATCCAACCCTTTCATTTTACAGATTATAATTACTTATATTTCATTCCTATCTGAGTAGCAGCTGTATCTTCCTTACTTTCTGTTTCTTTATCTATGCTGGTATGAAGTTGGTTTGGAATTTAACAAAGAAAAAGAAAAAGAAATGGGGGAGGGCAGGAGAGTTTAAATGTGAATATATAGTTTGAAATCTAAATTTTATAGCAAAAAAATTTAGGTCAGTCTAAACATCAAATCAACCTACCTCACTATATGTTGTCATTTAAATCCAACTTAGTTCTTTGTGGTAAACTAGGTTACACACACAAAGACTGTGTTTTCTAATTCTTTTACCTTTCCCATAGAATCTAACCCAATGATCAGAGCATAGTAGGAAATTCTGATACCATGTGTCCACACCATTATACTCAGGTATACATAGTATTTTACAATTTGCATTTTCTTAGTGGAAGTATTTCAGAATAATCCAATGGAAATTTCATTTTCCTAAAAGAATACTAAAGTCAATCATTTAAGTTCCTTTATCATGAATTCATCTTCTTTCTTTTTTTTTTTAATCCAGACCTATTACTTCATTATAAGTGTGGGGAAATCCTGATCTAGAGATTCCCCATACTAGATCAGCAACTCATCTTTAACTTTTAGCTTAGAGAGTTGGTGGAGCTCTTTTCCCAGGGTTTCACAACTAGTCTGTATTAGAAGCAGGACTGGAACTTGGGTTTTCCTGATTCCAATGTTGATCTTCTCCCCATTGTGCCAGGCCATCTGTCTCATCATTTTTTGATATGTCAGATTAACATGTCATGGTCTTACTCACCGGATAGGGTAGGAAGTTGTGATCTTTCTAGAAATAGCACTAGTTGCCCTTTTATGGTCTGTCTCAGCACCATGAGCTTTTCTTTCTGTATTTGGAGAACAGGGCAAGATGACAGTGACTGGTTTATGAAAAGGATGTGTTGCTGGGTGTTGGAGATGAATTAAAGGGCTAGTTGATACTACTGAATAATAAAGATCTTGTTTCATTTTTAATGTTGACACTAGTGAAGGATCAATTGGCTGGACCTAAATGAATTAGATAAAAGAGTAATTAATTCTCATTGATTAACTTTCATTAGAAGCAAAATACTTTTTTTTTCTGAGCTGTTTATCTTAGTGCGTTACAGAATATAGTTTTGTGTGTGTTTTGTTTAATAAATCCAAACTTTATAACTACAACAGCTCCCATAACATCTCCTTCTTCTAAATTATCTTCAGTCCAGTCATTTTCACCATGAAGCCACATATATTATATAGGTACCTTCCAACTTTCTACTTCTTGTTCTGAGAACTGTAACCAAATCACTACTACCATTTCCTCTTGAAAGGGTGTCTCAACTGACCGCTTTATTTTTCCCCTCACAGTCTCTGTAATTTCCCAGTTACCCTTCTCTGGCTATGACTCTCCTATATTAATATTCTACTTTTATAAGCCTCTCAAAACAGAGCAAATCTCACCTGGTTTCTCTGATAAAAATTTTTTTAATTACTAAAAATTATTATTGGTGCTCTGGTGATGAGGTATGCATGAGTGCTATCAAGTATCCATCTTCTTTCCACCTATACATCTACAAAAAACTGAAGTAGAGAACAGATTTCCAGACTTCTCTGTGCATGACTGGAAAGGGACAGCTATGTCATATTCCAAAAGTGGGGGCAGTTAAGAAGGGAAGGCTAGTTTCTTCAAAATCCCTACACAAACACAAACCTCCAAATCCTCATGGACTCTTGACTGCCCTCATTATATATGGAAACTGCCAGAAGAACTTCTAATTTGGAGATTCCCTTCCTAAGTAAACATTTGTGTTTGTGCATATTAAAAGTTTTTCTGTTTGCAGCTTAAAAGTTATATAACTTTTCCAAGAAGCCTTACTGTATGAACTCCCTAATCCCAGCCCTCAACTATAATATAATGGCAACTGCTTGCAAGATCATTCTCAGGAAAATTATTAGCACTTGCATCGGGGAGCCACCTCCTCCAACCCTATTATTGAATGGTAGTTTAAAAAATCATGCACAGAAATTTGTAGAGGCATGCTAACACTGAAATACTATATTTTCTGTAATAATATCTATTTTTAAAAATCAATTTTGCGTGATTTAGATGTAGTAACACCTAAAAGCATAAGGTTGAGGGTTAAGAAGGTATTCCATATTTATCTAGTTATGAATATTGCTGTATTCATGTAACATATACACCATACCAAAATTTCAGATTCTTCAATTTTACTAACTAGTTGCCCACACTTTGTTTTTAATCATGCTAATGAAGTTTAAGTAATAGAAAAAAGGTTTCTCTTTCTTGCAAAAGAGCTATAACAGGAAGATTGTGCACTTTAGGATGAAAGAACATGATGGCAGCATCCGCTTTTTCCTTGAACAAAATATATATCCAAGGATTTCAGGTGATTAAGAATCTAGAGACAGTGAGTGTCCAGCAGAGCACTGTCTAGAGGACAGTACATGTACATCTCATCAGTAGCCAACAAAGCACAGCAGAGACATGCTATAATGACCCATTATCCATATGAGCATAGTCGAGCAAAGACTAGAGAACAATCAGGTTGGTGAATTGTACTGGCTGGCATAATAATGACCTAACTAGGAGCAGTCCTGCAATGCCAGAGATGTGAGTTGCCTCTCGAACTGTTTCCCTTGTTGCTTGTGTGTGTGTGTGTGTGTGTGTGTGTGTGTGTGTGTGTGCTCCTTCGTGCATGCTCCCTATATCCACTCTTCCTACTGATATACATGCTCCTGAAAGAGTGAATCCTTGTTTTGTGTGGGAAATGCTTTGTTGCTACATTCTTATCATACCATTTCATTAAATGCCTTTTCTTCTAACAAAATAAGTCCTTTGGCTAATCATAAAGGGTAAACACCTCAGTGGGAGAGGCATGAGCCTCTCCAAAGATTCACAGAAAACTTTGAATCTGTGATAGTTACTTACTTCAGAACCAGCACAGAAAGTTGGGATACTACACAATAATAAAACTTGCAAATTTCTGCTAATGTGGCAAGAATTCAATCTGAGAAAAGAGTGAAAGTGATCTATTTCATCACAAGTGGTTAGTTTATAATACAGGTATTCTGGAGAACAATTTGAAACTATGTCCAAAGGGCTATAAAACTGTGTATGCCCTTTGACACAGCAATACCATTGAGGCAGCTAGGTGGTGCAGTGGATAAAGCACCGGCCTTGAAGACAGGAGGACCTGAGTTCAGATCTGGCCTCAGACACATAACACTCACTAGCTGTGTGACTCTGGGCAAGTCACTTACTGCCATTGCCTAGCAAAAACAAGAAACAAACAAATAAAAAACAGACACAGCAATACCATTACTAGGTCTGCATAAATATCTACAAAAATATTTATAGCACCTCTTTTTGTTGTGGTAAAGAATTGGAAATTGAGGGGATGCTCATCAATTGGGGAATGGCTGAACAAGTTATGGTTTATGATAGTGATGGTGCATATTGCCCTATAAGAAATGACGAGCAGGATGCTTTCAAAAAAAACCTTGGAAGACCTATATGAACAGATGCAAAGTGAAATGAGCAGAACCAAAAGAACATTGTATGCAATAACACCAATACTGTATGATGATCAACTATGAAAGACCTAGCTACTTGATCATCAAGACAGAATTGTCTTGATGAAAAATGCTATCTACCTCCAAAGAGAGAACCAATGAACTCTGAGTGTAAAGTATAATACTTCTAATCTGTTTTTAGTGCTTTTTTCTGCAACATGTTTAATATAGAAATATATTTGCATGATCTCATATGATTTCACAGCAGTATCATACTGCTTGCCTTCCCAGTTTGTGGGAGAGGGACTGAAGGTAAAGAGAGAATTCAGAATTCAATTTTTTAAGTGATTGTTTAAAAAATTAATAAATTTATTTTTAAAAAGATGAGAAAAACCAAGCAATACATTAAATAGTGGTTAGTTTAGTCTCCATGAAACATTAGGTTAAAATATTCATAAAACATCATGTTATATAATTCTATCTGAGCTGTAAGAATCCACGTCTCATTATTTTCAATATTGCATTTAATCTTTATGAGCCTCAGTTCTCTCATCTGTAAAATAGAAAAATAATCCTTGTACTAACTACTTCACATAATTGTTGTAAAGATCAAACAGTTACAGAATTCTTTATTAAATCTAAGACTCTGTAATTATTAGTATTTTATTGGAATAATCCACTTACTGTTATTTTAAATATTACATCTCATTCATCCATTTTTCAAAGGTTCAGTTGCCAAGTCTTTAATTAAGATTCTACCTCTACAATAGTTTTTTGCATGTATCCTCTTCTCTCCAACTGGAGGGGTTGAGAGTATGGGAGAAGAAAAGCATTTATTAATTGCCCACTATGTGGCAGGCACTCTGCTAAGCACTTTGCAAATATTGTCTCACAACAGCTCTGGGAGGCAGGTGGCATTATCATCCCCATTTTACAGATGAGGAATCTGAGGCAGGAATCTGAGGTTAAAGTGACTTGCTTAGTGTCACACAGCTAGTAAATGGATGATCCTTGATTTGAATCCAAGTCTTCCTGACTCCCAGACCAGCACTCTGTCCACTGTACCTTCTCGTGGCCATCCTTCTAGCTCATGCCTTTATCATTTCTTGCCTGAACTCTGGTTAATAGGCAACTAACTAGGGGCAGCTAGGTGGCCCAGTAGATAGAACTCCAGCCTTGGAATCAGGAGGACCTGAGTTCAAATATAGCCTCAGACACTTGATATTTACTAGCTGTTTGAGTCACTTAACCCAATTGCCTCACCAAAAAAAAAAAAGGCAACTAACTGATCTTCCTGCCTCCAGTACTTTCCTTCTCTGATCCCTCTACTACACAGCTTCCAAAATGAGATTCCTAATGCACGTCTTACTTAACTTTCCTGCTCAAGAAGTTTCAATGTCTACCTGTTTCTACAAGGTAAAATACAGACTCCTCTGTTTAGCATTTAGAGCTAGCCACATGGAACAATGGGGAGAGAGCCAAGGATTTGGTGCCAAAGACCTAGGTTCAAATCCCAGAGCTGTTATTTCTACTTGCATGACTTCCTGCGAATATTTAACCTCTGTGCACCTGAGTTTCTTTATCTGTAAAATGAGGAAGTTGAATTAGCTAACTCGAAGTTCCCTTCAAGCTCCAAATTTATGATCATATAGATTCTCCCAGTATGACTTCAGCCTATCTTTTTGGTATGATTTTGTGTTAATCCCCCTCATACACCCTATGTTCCAGTCAAACTTTTACTTTTGCTGTTACATATACATGACATTCCATCTCTTCTCTCCAGGCCTTTGCAAAGACCATCTCCCATACCCTTTGATGCTCTCCCTCCTCTGCTTCTCAGAATCCCTAACTCTCTTTAAGGTGCTATCCTACAGAACACATATCCTATTAGTTATTATTGTTCTCCTTGCTCCCAAAATTACTTTGCATTTCCCTTGTATATGTCCCGTACTGACTTGTCTGTGTACACATCTCCCATCACTTCCCAAGTAGTGCCTTAAGGGCAGGAGTTATTTCATTATGTCTTAGTATCACCACCAGATGAACAAAAGTAGGCACTTAATCAATGGTGGTATTAGTGGGCTGAACTGAATGGAAAGGCAACTAATGTGATGCATGCTTACCTTTAACTGTACAAGGACTGAAGAGTTGAAAACTCCCAAGGGGTAACTTAAGGAGATCCTGGGGTCCATGCTGAGCTTTAGGGAAAGGCCTTTCTTTGGAACCATGAAGGATTCCTTCTTCAGGCAAGATACCACAGAAAAAATGCCAACCGTATAAACCTTTACTTCAGCCCAGGTTCCCTAAATGCACACACACACACACACACAAATGCAAAACACTGCAGCACGTGAAAGAAAGTCCTACATTTCAGTAATTTTGTAACACATCTTGGGTTTCATTTATAGCTAACTATGTGCTCTTTGTTGCTTTTCAAGGAAGACAAAAACGGTGAAATGAAAACCTCTTAGATAGATATTACCTGCACAAATTAATGAAAATCCTGCCCCATAAGTTCTAAAGAATGTTAAAGTTTAAGAAGCCTAAAGGTCAATAGACTACAAATTGACTGACTGACTACTTGTATTAGATGGGAAATCTACATTGCTCCAGGCACACTTTGTGATTTCCCCTTATACCTAGGACACACCTGTAAAATGAGATGGTTAGAATAAATGGCCTCTGAGTTCCATCCCATTAAAATCTAATTCTTATTACCATTATAAAAGGTACTGTGGCTATTATATTTAGTTGGTGAGAATACAGTGCTAATTAAATCACAGTGATTTTCTCTTTGTTTTTTTTTTCTCCCCATGCACAATAGTTAGCTTTGTTCTGTTCAATGACATCAAACTACACCCTCAACTCTGGGAAAGGATCTTAGAAATGTGTATCCTTGGAGATTAAGGAAATTCACAAAGTATGTATGGCTCTCTTGTCCAACATAGATAATCAGTAGTATCATCTTCATATCTCAAGAACAGCATTTTCTAGTAGTCTGAGTAACATTAAGAAACTTTGCAAAATAGGAGAAGGATCCTTAGCTGAGCATTTACCAACCTTATGGCTTCCTCGAGTTCCTTCCAATGAACTTGGGGTTATATAACTTGATTGAAGGTCTCTATCAGACACTTTCACCATGATGTCCCTGTAATTTCCCCTGTAGCGTGCACTAAATGGGATTGCAATGCTTATCGGAAATGGTATTCTCTTCTCCTGGTCTATGTACTCAACAGTGATGACATTGCTGACCAATTCTTCAGAATCCTTAACTATCAAAGAACTAATACTGTTTGTTATCTGGCAGGTCAGGTTTTGTAGAATAGGTAATGATGCTGTAATATAACAAACTACTTTGGGGCTGGTCTCATCAAATGAAGTAACAAGATATCTGCAGAAAAAACACATGATATTTTTCCTTTGCATAATTTAATTTATATATGTTTACTTATATATTCGATTTGATAAATGATTATACAATTTTTTTTATCATGTTACAATTTAAATTTGAAGACTGCTATAGAATCTCAGAGTTAGAAAAGCCTAGAGATCATCCAGTCCGACGCCTACTTATAGCATGAATCCCTCGCACAATATTCTTGGTTATTCATTTATTTATTTATTTCCAACAATGAAGAACTCACTGACTCATGGGGCCTGTTCTGGTTTTGGAAAGCTCCAATTCTTTGAAAAAGTCTAATCTTCTATCTTCTTCCCTTTGCCCGAGCAGAAAGTTAGTCCCAATTCCAGATGACACCTCCACCAAACTTGCCCCTCACTCCTAGTTCTGTGGATGACACCACCATGGTTCTTGCCCTATAAGCTTGACACCTTAAGGACATCTTGGACTTCATCCTCAACTCCCCATATCCAATCAACTATCAAGTCCTAGAGAGCCTATCTCCACCTCACTTCTTGCTCAGACTAACCATAATAGGCTTTTATCTAGTCTCCACACCTCTAGTCCCTCCTCCTTTCCAATGCAGCTTTCCAAATCCAAGTAATCATTCCAAAGTGGGTCTGATGGTGTAAGCCTTCCACTCAAAACTTTCATTGGATCTCTATTGCTTACTGAATAAGACACAAATTCCTTAGACTGGCATTCAAGGCCCTCTAAAATATGGCTCAGTCATCATACACCTTCCTGTAATTTACATTCCAGTCAAACTGGATTATTGCACCGACTTTTGTTCATTTCCACCATTGCTCCATTTTAAAGAAGGGTCCAAATTCCTGGAACGGTCTCTACCTTTATCACTACCTTAGAGTCTTTCTTTTCATTTGAGGCCTACCTTTTCCATGAAGTCTTCTTCATTCTCTAACCATAAATAATTCTCCTTGGCCCCCCCCCCATTTTCCAAATCTCTCATACCACTCTTTGGATCTCTCCTATAAACGTCTTATCTCATAATTTGTAATATATTTACTTATATTTTTTCTTATTCCTCTCCCTCTATTAGGCTGCAAGGTACTTGGGGACAGGATCATTGAATTAGAGCTGAAATGAATTATAGACACCACCTAATCTAACCCCCTCATCTTACAGATCAGGAAAGTGAGACAGGATAAGTACCCAGGTCTTTCAATCTCCAAGTTTAGCATCTGTGTCATGCTGCATCTCTAAATCTCATTCCATTTTTTATCTCTAATACCCAGAGGATAGTTTGAAACAGTAGTTACTCAATATCTGCTGAATTGTATTCTTTAAATATTTGAAGATAGCTACCATTTCTTCTCCAATTCTTTTCTTCCTGAAGGTAAATATCACCAGTTCCTTCAACTAATCATAACTTTTGAGTCCCATCATCAACATAAAGTGTAGCAGTTCAGTTTTAGAATTGAAAAGAACATTAAAGGTCATCTAGTTCAATTTTCTTATTTTCATGATGAGGAAACTGGTACCCAGAGAGTTCAGTGACTTGTCCAAGGTTACACAATAAGTAGCAGAGCTGGAATTCAAACTCAGGTCAACTACTTTTTAAGCTATACTATTCCACCTTCAGGAAATGTATTATCAGAAAAGAACATGGCTTCATAGCGAGAGCAATGGAAAGTGGATGGATGGCCCAAGTACTGTAGTGGTGCCCACAGAATGTCACCAAAACATTGAGGAGATCTTTTGTGGAGTATTTATGGGTGTCCACGCACAAGAATAGCTCAGAATGAGAATGTGTGGATCCCAATCACAGTTGCTGAATTTCCATGCTTTCTGATACTGATCGTATTGATGGCATTCCACAAGACTGGAAAACAGTTTAAATCGAAAGTCTATCATGAGCCAGCCTTGTATTAGTTTAGGAATGATTCTTTCTCATATTTGCAAAGTGCTCTGGGAAGCCTTATCAAGGTTAATTTCTTCCAAGGGTGACAAATTAAGCAGAAAAGGGAAGAGTTCATCATGGCATAAAACCCAATAGCCCCAACTCCACTCTACAAAATATTGTTCCAAGTAACTGAACTGGTCTGTAGCAGGCCTTCTCACCTTTGGGCATGGGCATTACCTAGGAGCTATGGAAGAGAATAGGTTCTTTAAAGTTGGATATCCATGGAGGCAACCTGAAGATTTTTTGTTTGCTAAACATTTTTGATTATGAAGGGTGATGGCTTCTTAGCCTGAGGTAGCATGATGAGTCATGATCTAAATTTACAAACCTGAATGGGTTATCCTGGATAACTATGTGACTAGGGAACCACTAAATGGGGAACACCTAAAGTGGGTGTTATAGAGTGTGGTGTTGCCTTTGGCTGCTTAGGCCTCTCTTTGAGTTATTTTGAGCTGTGTTACTATATGCAGTGCTTTGTTTCAGGTGAAATAAAACAATAATATGATTTTTTTTTAAAAAAAATGCTCCTGGCTTCAAATTCCACCTGTGACACTTTCTACCTTTGTGACCATGGGCAATTCACTTTATCTCCAAGGCTCTCAGTTTCCTCATCTGTTAAATAAGAGTTGGATTAAATGGCCAATAAGGTCCCCTGTACTTCACAATCTATTATCCTGTAATAGCACAGTATTCTGACAAAGAGGTGATAGACTTGAAGTGCTGGATGAGGTATATCTTGTTAGATATGGCCATGTGTGGATTTGATTGCTTGACTCTATTTACAAGAGAAGTTTTGATTTTGTTTTTGTTTATAATTGCTAAGTGCAAGGATTGGGAAGGAAAGGGGAGATAATAAGAGCAATGAAAGAAAGAAAGAAAGAAAGAAAGAAAGAAAGAAAGAAAGAAAGAAAGAAAGAAAGAAAGAAAGAAAGAAAGAAAGAAAGAAAGAAGGAAAGGAACAAACAAAGAAAGAAACAAAGAAACAAAGAAAGAAACAGAGAAAGAGAGAAAGAAAGAAAGAAAGAAAGAAAGGAAGAAACAAACAAACAAAGAAACAAAGAAACAAAGAAAGAAACAGAGAAAGAGAGAAAGAAAGAAAGAAAGAAAGAAAGAAAGAAAGAAAGAAAGAAAGAAAGAAAGAAAGAAAAAGAAAAGCAGGAAGGAAGGAAGGGAGGGAGGGAGGGAGGAAGGAAGGAAGAGAGGGAGAGAGGAAAGCATAAAGGCCATTGACGCATTGGTTTTATTTTTTTATTTTATTTTATTTTATTTTGCTTTTTGGTGAGGCGATCAAGGTTAAGTGACTTGCCCAGGGTCACACAGCTAGTAAATGTTAAATGCCTGAGGCTGGATTTGAACTCAGGTACTCGATACATTTTTTAAGGCATAAAAGAAAACAGAAAAAAAGTTCTAAAGGAGATACAAATAAGCAGGACAATTTAAAACTAATATGTTGGATTTATTTGCTTTGAAAAAATAAGCTGTACATAATAGAAATTCATGGTTTCATTTGCAATTTTCTGGGTTTTTTCTCTATGGAAATGTTCATATTTGTTGGTGTCAAATTCAGAAAACCAAACAGAATTATTTTAAAAAATACTCAGTGTATTAAAGCTAATTGGGGTATGTGGTGAGTTTCAAACCACTAAGGTATCATTTAATGTTAAAGAATATCTTAAATGTATATTTTTCTGGGGGAAAATTACTATACCCCCTACAGGTACCTAAAATGCCAAGAGAAAACATTGTTTATTCACCTGATTTAATCTGGTTTGTAGTGATTTTATTTAGTCTTATAAAAGATTACTAGCCACCTTGAACAGACAGAGATACTGAAGCACTGTGATTAGCTCAAAAATACCAATTTGGTACTGAATACATCAAGTTCCTTCAACATGTTTGTTTGGTATTCAGGTCTTTGTTATCATTGGTGCAAGGGAGATATTCAATGAGAAAACTCTATCAACCAATGTGACAACTGTTTTTCAGTTTATGATTTTAGAGAACTGAGTGGCTAAGTCTGTTATCCACCACATTCACATGTCAAAGGGGGAACTTGAACTCTCAGATCATCCTGACTCCAAGAACATCCTTATATCCACTACACCATGAATGAATAAAGCATCACATAAGTGCTTACTATGTGCAAATCCCTTTACTGAACAGAAAAGACAGTCCCTGCTCTCAGAGTCACATTCTGATGGAGGAGACAACATAGCTATCTATTTCAGCTGTAAGTCAGATGGAAAAATCCCATGGTTCTTAGGGTGTAGAAGCAAAGCAAATGTATTGCCTTTTCTTTAATGCCATTACTTAATATCACTATTCCAGGGCTTTGGGGTTCAACGTCCTGGGCTGTCTTCTTCGGGGTCTGAAAGAAGATGGTGGCCAAGATACTGGTCATAGTTGACTTGCCTGGCACATGCTGCTCCTGTCTCTCCCACAGGCTGCCTTATTGGCCGCCTTACAGGTGACAGTTGGCTGACATTTTCTATGGATGGATGGCCCCTTCTCTGCAGGAGTTGATTCTCTAGACCATGGGTGGAGATCCTGTAACCTCAAGGCCACATGTGGTCCTCTAGGTCCTCAAGCATGGCCCTTTGATTGAATCCAAACTTCACAGAACAAAGCCCCTTCATAGAAGGATTTGTTCTGTAAAACTTGGACTCAGTCATAAGGCCACACTGAAGGACCTAGAAGGCCACATGTGACCTGAAGGCCATATGTTGCCCACCCTTGCTGTAGACTAGGGCTCTGAGGGCTGGGTTGAAAGCAGAGATGGTTAAAAAAAAAAAGCAGAGATTGTAGTCTTGAGAACGCTGCCATTCTCAGGACTCCTATGCTTGTATATTATTGGTCAGCAGTTGTTGCTTCAGGTGGTAAAGAAGAAAGGCCCCTTCTCTAAAATGATTTGGCCTCTCACTGATGGCTTTGGGGTATGCCACAAGCAGGTCCAATGGACTAGGGAACACTGCTATTGCAAGGCTCTTGGGTTCAGAGTATTGGACTGTCACCATCAGGGTCTGAGGGAAGCTGGTGGTCACATTGGTAGAGGTAGGGATCTGACTTG